ACTAGGGCCCGAGTGTCATGATTTCAGATCTAAACCTATTATGTTTTCATGAATATATGTGTGTTCTTGATCCTATCTTGCAAGTCCATAGTCACCTATTATGTGTTATGATCCGACAACCCCGAAGTGACAATAATCGGGATACTTCTCGGTGATGACCGTAGTTTGAGGAGTTCATGTATTCACTATGTACTAATGCTTTGTTCCGGTTCTCTATTAAACGGAGGCCTTAATATCCCTTTGTTTCCGCTAGGACCCCACTTCCACGGGAGGGTAGGACAAAAGATGCCATGCAAGTTCTTTTCCATAAGCACGTATGATTATTTATGGAATACATGCCTACATTATATTGATGAATTGGAGCTAGTTCTGTGTCACCCTATGTTATAGATATTACATGAGGAATCGCATCCGGCATAATTATCCATCACTGCTCCATTGCCTACGAGCTTTTCACATATTGTTCTTCACTTATTTACTTTTCCGTTGCTCCTATTTCAACTACTACAAACCCCCAAAAACATTTATCTTTACTTTTGCTACCGTTACCTTTATTATCATACTACTTTGCTACTAAATACTTTGCTGCAGATACTAAGTTATTCAGGTGTGGTTGAATTGACAACTCAACTGCTAATACTCAAGAATATTCTTTGGCTCCCCTTGTGTCGAATCAATAAATTTGGATTGAATACTTTACCCTCAAAAGCTGTTGCGATCCCCTACACTTGTGGGTTATCACGCAACCGATGGGCCAGGCTGGTCGCGCGGCATAGATGGGGTGGATCGCAGCGGCGAGCGGGTGATCAAGCCGATCGCGTACGAGGTCGGGGACGCCGCTCGGTGGAGGCGGGGTGACGGCGGAGTCCTAGATGAGGCCGGCGACGATGGACGGCATGGGGTGTCGTGCGGACGAGCTTGTCAGCACCGGCACCCGGGCTGCCAAAGCAACGCCGGCGCCCGGGCAGCGAGGCCCAAGCGACCAACGAAGCATCGGCGCCCGAATTGAGGCAGACGACGAGCCTGACGCAGTCGTCCCAACGCAACGGAGGACGAGGCCGGCGAGGTAGACCGCCGGGCCGCCGTGCAGACGCGGCGGAGGCGGATGATGTGGATTGATGGGCGAGTCGGCGCGCAAGCAACGACTATGATTGGTCGTCGCATGGCACGAGGCCGCCGGATCGGGGCGATGCAGGTGTCCCGGTCGGAGCAGGGCGGTGACGACCGGTGCAGGCGACGGGCGGACCGACGCGCGGACGGCGGCTGGCCCTGACAGGCCGCCTCGGCGCGCGTGGCCACCGGGTCGGAGGAGAGGCCGGCGGGTCGCGCCGGGGTCGGAGTAGATGCGTTCGGGGTCGACGGCGGCGGTGGGCAACGCAAACCGATCAAGAATAGATCGGAAAACCAAAAAGAAACCGCGCGATCAAGATGATTGGTGGGAGAGAAAAAAACCCGGAGCATGGCTCGGGGAAAAGACTCTCTAGGGCAGCCGGTCAACACGACCGGCGGACGAACCCTAGGTACGGGCGGCGCGGCCCCCGGCGGCGGTCATGAAGGCCGACCGCCCAGGGGGCGGCGCGCAGGTGCGGAAGCGGCGGCGGCTAGGGTTTAGGATCGACTTGCGATAGATACCATGTTAGAAGGGAGAGAGAGATTTGGTGGAATAGTTGTTTGATGTATTGCTTGAGCCTCGTGGCCATATATATAGGAGTACAATGATCTACTTGAAGTACAAGACAAGCCAGAACAAATCCTAGTCTATCTCGTCTTTCCTAATAATCATGATACTCAACAATGAGTAATACTCCCTCCGTTCATAAATATTTGTCTTTTTAGAGATTCAAATGGACTACCACATATGCATGTATATAGACATATTTTAAAGTGTGCATTCACTCATTTTGCTCCATATGTAGTCACTTGTTGAAAACTCTAGAAAGACAAATATTTAGAAACGGACGGAGTAGTACTAAATTTTAAACTGATATGTAGAGGTGCATGTTTCATCCTTGTTATCATTCTTGCTTATTGAGTGCCTGTTCATTTGTTTATTATTATTATTATTGATGCTACTTTTCTTGTTTTAAAAGAATTACTATAATTTTTATTTTCCATATTGATAAATAACTCCCTTAACAAACACAACTATCCATTCATAGAAGATCAACATGTTTTGACTAGAAGAGAGGAAGAAATATATAATATGTGATAGAAAATCGTGGACGAGTACTATGCTACCCACTGTGTTTTTCTATTCAGTACACCTGAGATTCGTTTTTGAACTTCACAACAAGAGTAACATTTATTGATTTGACTTCTACGTAGGTAGTATCTCGTTGGAGGGAAGATCGGAAAATTGATTGAGCATATAATGTGTCAACTTATTTCATTTGTCGTGTAAGCTCCGCTCTACCTAATGCTTACATGGTTTATGTGATCTCAAGAGCCCAGCCAAGATCTTGCTTACATGGTCTATGTGATTTTTCAAGTTTGGGCAGCGAACACGAGCATCCATTCATTATTTTTCAAGTTTGGGCAGAGCTTTGAACCCTTCGCCAGAGACCCCATCCCTAGATTGCTGGAGGATCAAGATGATGTCATCAGGGTTCCCATAACCATGATCGCCATGTTTGATCTCCTCAAGCATCCACTATAGGAGCTTCTCATATCTTCGGTCCTTCCTTTAGTTGTTGCAAATTCGCCTTCAGTTTACAATGCCAGAAGGACACTAACCTTGTCTAGCATCATTCGATAAGCTCAAGTCATTATTGTTATGGACACAAGAAAGTATATCTATATTCGTAGGTAGTATCTGAGAATTATCGTCTTGTGACACTGGCCAAGCATAGCGACATCTTTCAGCGATTTCCCATATTAGTTCAAGTAGTGTGTTGCTGTACTTTTTTTTAATAGGAACTGAGTCACACACAAAAGGGCCAGATTTTCATGCACATGGTCCATTATTTGTACAAATAACCAGTTTCTAATTCCATGCTGTCAGATTTTCACCTGAAGCGTGATCATTATGTGAAGCGCGCCAAGAATAACAACATGAGGCCATTTAAGAACAGGGTTAAACTTCCCTGGGTTTCTTCTCCCTTAAATCTTAATGCAGCCTTTTATTCACATTTCATATTGTGTAGCTGGTGACGATGAGGAACTGTTATCCAGTTGAGAAAATAAAGACTACATCGATGATGCTCTCAAATGTAAATGACTTTCTGAGCTAGATAGTGACTTTATGAGCAATTCTGCATTTAGTCAACTGTTACTTTGTATGTGTATGCAGTATGACTATGGTTCTCACCCAAAATAGAGGCCCAACAAACCTTTTTGGAAGGACTTATGATCACCGAATATATGATCTTGTACTACCCGATGCAACGCACGGGCCCTTGTGCTAGTTAAGCCACAAGGCTCAATTAAGATGAATTGATTTTTATTTGCAAGAAATTGAAATTCTCAGTTGCAAATAGTAGATGTAATTAATCTCAACATGTAGAATAACATGGAAATATATTACATCACCATATATTCTGGAATACAAAGTACTCTACAGAAATACAGTAATTAAGGGTCTAAGACAGGTAATACTAGTAAATAGTAATATACTGTTGACAGGATCAATTTGCAAATCCCAGGAATAAAAGAAGGATTATTGCAAAAATTGGCCTGGACCACTGTTTCGGGCTGCTTTGCTAGTTCCTGTAAATACAGGGATTTTAGTGCAAAGTGGGGAAGGATAAGATTCCTTTTCCCCTGTTGCTTCAACCGGGAGAAATCCCGTAACTGCCGCCGGAGGAAGGCGGCGCTGCCGCGCTTGAGGAGCCCACGTCGTGCCACTGCGTGTGGCCAAGGATGCACTGCCGCTGTGCGCAAGCCATGGGCCAGCGTCGAACAGGAGCAGCGAGGGCGCTGCGCGCCATGGACGGGGCGGGGCCGCAGCCGCTGATGCGGCCCGAGCACGCCGGGCGATGCCGGCTGTGAGGCCCGAGCGCCGTGAGCGGCCGTGGCCGTTGCCGACGGAGCCGCAGACGCCTATGGGGGCGCAGGGTCCGACCGCCGAAGGGGCGGGTCGACGCCACCGCGTAGCCGCGCCGTTGCGCAGCCGTCCAGCCGCACGCGCGCAGGCCTTGGGCGTGCCTCGTCGCCATCGCATCGGACAGCCGAGGCTGCCGGCAGGAGCAGCAGCGAAGGGTGCCGCCGGAAGTGCATCGCGCGCGAGAGATGGAAAGATGGTCAGAAAAATGAGCAATAGACTCACTTCGCCTGAAGGTACTGTAGGTGTTCTTTGATTCCCCCTCCCGGCTGCATGTGCCTTATGTGGCTGATGAATTCCTTCCGATTCTTGTTAGGAGTAGCAATCACATCTCTCTGCACAGAGGCTACATACCATACACAGTCAGTTATTCGATCTTTGATCTTAATCACAAGAGACAACCAAGAACGTTGTTGAGTCGCCGCGTCGTGGCCCAAAACGTAACGGATGTATCCCTTTGCACATCTGTAACCGCCGGGATGGCCTAATCTCTGCTCTCGGCCAGAGCGTGCTGATGTAAAACGAGAGACGGGAGACAGAGAAATACGTAAAAATGCTGATGTAAAACGAGAGATGGGAGACAGAGAAGTGCGTAAAAATGAATCCCTGCGCCCGAAGGGAAAAGTAGGGATGAGACTACCCGTGGGCGTCCCACCTCGATCCACTCCGTTCCAGTAGGATTTGGTGGGCACAGCGAGACAAGCTACGAAAGCTTAAGGACGTGTTTGGTTTATGGGACAAGCTAGGGTGCTGTGGTCAAATGATATGGTGGATTTGTATGAATTTTGCTCATAGTGCAACCATAATGCACAATTATGCAAGCCATACGATCAGCCTAGGGCTCGATTCCTTTTTCATATCTGTCTACAATGAAATAGGGCTCTTAAACATATGATTACAGGATCCAGCACATCATCCTCACCAGTACACACTCTTAACTACAGTAATAAATAGATACTCATCAGTACACCATCTTCATCCCATCAATGCCAATTTTTGCGCTATTGACTTGGCACCATCGACGAACATCGTCTTTGACTTGAACGGGCCCAAAGTCCAACCAGTCATCAGATTCCAGGTCTTCACATTGCACTGGTGGATGAATTGCAAGCTTAGCCTTCTTTGCAACTTCTGGAGGAGTACTTGCCAGCTTAACCTTCTTTGAAGGTTTAGATGCAACCTTGTCGCCATCCCGTCGTATCACTTTAAAAAAAAAACTTAGATATATACAAAATCTGGACATATGACTATGTTGTTTGCGAGCAGTAATGACACATAAGATGAATGTGTACACTGATAGTTCAAAAAATGAAATAGACAAACAAGAAATAGAAACTCGATCTGGTTTTACATGGTAGAGACATCATGCTCTTCGCAGTTAGCACTCAGCTAACTCATCACCAAAGTGTCGTCTGAGAACACCACATAGCCATGATGTGGCATTTGTGACCCCAATGAGCAGATAACAGCTGGAAGGACCACAACGGACACACAGGGGACTGGTGGTGACCTGCTACAGACCGTCAGCATGGTGGTGTGTGTTCAGGTGGCACAAGGCTTAAGGCAGTGATAGGGCGGCCGAAACACTGGAGTCCTGACAACAGTCAGGTGTAAGGATGTTGGATGAGGTGTTAGAGGATTAAGAGAACAGTTGGAAGGCCTGTCGCCAAGGAAGACAGACACATGAGAAGGCCAACGAGGCTCATCTACAGGAGTTTTACCTAACAAGCCACATGATATACAAAATACGTACTATCCTGAACAAAATGATCCTAAAAGAAACAGCCAAAGATGTCGCCTGATTTGACCCAAAGGAACCCAACCGAACAAATTCTAGAACTTATACCAACAGAAAAATATGTGCTAAATGGTACAGGAAAACAGTTGCTCCGATATAGAAATTAGATGACCATCCAGTTTTATGCTTTACAAGAGCAATCACGATAGTGTGGTTCCTAGAGTTTGCTTCAAAATGGCACACCAAAGTAGCAGCAACAAAGGCTGCATAATGAATCAAGAACTACACATATATAGATACTGGGCAGTTCCATATAAAGTTCAAAACATCCAAAATGGAGAAATAGAGGATCCAAGACTTCCGGGGGCAATTTGATTGGCAGAAGGAGCAACTTATTACTCCCCCTGAACCAAAAAAACCACGACACTTATGTTGGTTTGGAGGGAGTATTAAAGTTTAGTGTACCTACACAACTGGAGCGGCTAAAACTCAAAACACTTGAACAGCCTAAGAGAAGATTTATGGTAACAATATATCAAATGCTTCAAATTTTAATTACTATAACAAGCAACACGGCAAAACCTCAGAAGGTAGTAAATCAGAAATTTTGGGCGCATCTGAAGACCTGACTATGTTGCTTGCAAGCAGTACTGACAAGTATGATGAGTTGCTAAACCTAGTGTGATGGTTTTGCTGGCTAAAAAACCACTTTAAAAAGAATGATGTACACAGTAATAGTTCAAAAAAATGAAAAACAAACTAGAAATTTAAATGGCATTCGAGTGGGGTACACTGACAGAAAACAGTTTCGTCCTAAATATCAACGTAAACATCATGGCATCAAGACGAAGACAGTCACATGAGAAGGCCAATGAGGATAATGCTACAAGAGTTTTACCTAATAAAAGTCTCATGCAGGGAGAATGACTTTTCACTGGCCAGGTATCTAGTTACACAATATAAAAACAAATAATCTGGAACAAAAGGATCCTAACAGAAACAACTAAAGATGTCACCTGATTGACCCAACGAAACCCAACAGAACAAATTTTAAAACTTAAACAGAAAAGTATGTGCTAAAAGGTTGGTGTGTAGTTCCTAGAGTAATCTAAAGGTACAAGCTCCAGTTTTATGCTTTACAAGAGCAATCAAAATAGTTTAGTTCCTAGAGTTTGCTTCAAAATAGCACGCCAAACTAGTAAACAGAAGGCTGTGTAGTGAATAAAGAACTACACATATATAGATAGTGGGCAGCTATATAAAGAGCAAAAGATCCAAAAAGGAGAGGAAGAGGATTCTAGACTCTCGAGGACACGACTTGGCGGCAGAAAGAGCAAGCTATTATTAATTATTATAGACATAAAGTTTAGTGTACCTACACAACTGGAGCGGCTATAACTCAAAACACTTGGAACAGCCTAAGAGAAGATTGATGGTAACAACATATTCAAATGAAGTTTTCAATGATACCATTTTTTTCTACATATAACTCATATTTTTCATATGCTTTGGCTCAGAATGTAAGGGGGCCTAATAAACCCGGACGTAGGGCATGAAAAAAGTCAACAGTTCAATTACCCTTGAGAGTCATACACATAACCAGGCAGGATATGTATGGCATTATATGTAAGATAAATGAGCAAAGACACCAGTGTTACACTGCCATATCCAAGAGAAAGCTAAGAAAATGCAACCATGTTACTTGATATCTAATAAGTACAAAGGGGGATTACCTGATGGCCTTTCAAGGTAGTTGGAGAAGACGGTTGGAAGTTGGGGCACATTAGAGAAGAAGTTTTGGTGAGTTTCCACATCCACACGCCCAGCATCGTAGGGGTGTTGATTGATATATGGAGTACATGACCGCAGATATGCATAGTTCATGTCAAGCATGACCATCCACGCCTTTCCAGGAGTTCCCTCATCCCTCAACAGGCAGCACAGGGCATCAGGGTCCTCCACGCAGATGACTGGGAATTGGGGAAGACGCTGACCTATGTCCAGAGCCCGGTAATCACATTGCGCCCATAGACAATCCAGGTTGATCTCACGGTGTGGCTCCCACTCAAACTTGGAGTTACCACCCCTCATGTTCAAAGTCCATATGGTGATCTTTTGGGGCGGCTGCTGGTGTCCTTGGCTTCTCTCGAGACGACGACGCCAGTCAACATGGATTCTCTCGTGAAAGTCATTGTCAATGTGGACGAAGCGCATTATGCCATGGCTGATGGACACACTCCGGAATCTCCCCGCAAAGCACCTTGAGAGGAGTACCTCCTCACTGTACTCTTTTCCTCCAGGGAAAGGAACGAAGTGGAGCACCGGGGAGTCTATGGTGGAGAAGTCGGACAGCAGCACACCACTCAAGTAGTCGACCCAGCAGAGGAAACGGCCGTCACAAGCGAGCACATCGTCGGTTGACCAAAGGATGGGGAACTGGCCGCCATTGCTCTGGTCCTGGGGCTGCGGGGCGGGCACCTCCTCGATGACTTTCCACTCTTCAGTCTCGGAGTTGAAGACACAGAGCTCGGCAAGCATGGAACAATCGTGAGAGCCCTCCTTTTTTCCCAGGTAGACATTGAGGTCGGCAACAATGAAGCGGTGGTGCGCAAGTCGCAGGATGCCCGTGGTGAAGTTAGACCTCAGGAACGGCCTTTCCCTGTCCTCAATGTACAGAGGGAGCCGCTGCACCCAGGGGGAAGGACCGGCGGCCGTGTAGACGAACAGATCTGGCGGCAGGTCGAAGAAGCTAGTCTGGCTCGGGAGGGAGATGTCGAAGAGGACGAGGTCCTTGTCGGTTGCCCGGAGGTAGGGATATGCGTGGACGCTGAAGGGGGACTCGGATTTGGCTGAGCCTTCCAGCGGCCAGTGTAGATCGAGGTAAGAGATCCCTTCTTTATGATCCGAGAAGGTGAATGACATGAAGCAGTGGTGGCCGGTGGACGTGACGACTTCAACGGCGGTCTTCTTCTTATTGGCCTCCTCACAAGCAGCGTCTAGGTCGCCGTGGCAGTAGGTGCGGCCGAAGCGATCCAGCATCACCCAACCGGGGAAGACGACGGTCTTCTTCTCCGGCTCTGGCGCGACTCCTGTGGCCATGGCGGTCTCCTCCTCCAGCTCTGGCGCGACTCCGGTGGACACGGCGACCGGGATCGGGAATAAAGCTGATGCCGCCGCCGCCGCCGCCGCCGCAACCCTAACCCTAGGTTGATCTTTTTTTCGGGGGTGGGGGGGACTCGGAACTGATGGACGGGAAACAAGGGCGACGGGACTCAAATTATATACTCAGCGGACCAGCGCCCACAAAGTCGAGTTGTACTAGGGGAGCAGCCCATTGGGCCAGCAAACTAGCCGCACAAGCGAAGGAAGCGGGGTTCCCGGTTTGTCGCAGTTTGGATGCGACATATGCTAAAGAATGGCTTATCATGGTGGGAGCGAGTAGAATGTCATCGGTGCCCGGAAGCGGGATGAGGCGTAGACACGTACGCCGGCGCACTTTATCCAGATTCTGAGCTCTCCTAGAAGATAACCCCCCTAGTCCTGCTCTGCGGGGTCTCCGCATGATCACTAAGGCACTAGTGGGTACAATGGTGCTCCTCGAGCTGTATGCTAGAGGTAGACGATGGCAAGACTTGCTTTTTTCTCCCTCTGTGTATGAGTCTAGTTCTAACAGGTTAGGAACCCTTTGCATGGGTGCCCTGTGGGGTTTATATAGGCCTACCCCCAGGGGTACAATGGTAATCTGGCCGGGTGTAGAACCCGGTCGTCAGTGTCTCCGGTCACCGGCTTCTTTGTCAGTTGCTGGGGCCCGCCGTCTGGTGGGCCCTGCCGGCTGGTCTGGTACGGAGCCGACAGGCCGCCTCCGCCGCTCGCTAGTCGGTCGGCGGCTGATTACTGTAGCCGCTATGCTAATGACGCATGCTTGGTCGGGGAGGGGTGTGGCTACAGTCCCGCCGCCTGGTGGGAGATCACTATAGCCTCACCGTGTCTCGTCTGGTTAATGGTGCACGGGCCTCGAGGGAGGATCCGGCTGACCGCTAGGAGCCGGATCCACTTGGGTCCGACTAGTCAGGCTACGCCACCCTCCGGGCTCTCGCTGTCTAGTGGGGCCCGCCGCCTGCAAGCCGTACCGACGAGCCGTCGTGGGAGCAGGCCCCGCCTGACAGGGGTGACGTCAAGGATGGAGTGGCAACAGTGCCGCGTCGTGCGGAGATCTCCGCCGGTACGGGGCACTGTGGCCATGCCAAGCTCTAGACGCGAGGGTGATGGGCTACACTGTAGCCTCACCCGGTCTTGTCTTCTTAATGGGGGGCGCGGACTCTAAGGGCGTCGTGGGCCGCCTACTAGGAGCCGGCCTCTCTGGAGGCCGCCTGCTAGGAGTTGGCACATCTTGGAGCCGTCTTCTGGTACTTGGCCATCTTCTGGCAGCCGGCCATCAGAAGGCGGCGCTTCATTCTAGAGGCTCGTGGGGCGCAGTCGGCCCAAGGTCTTGAAAGGTTCTGGGACTCGGGTTAGGCTACCCGTGGCCCATTACTCCGATAGTAGTCCCCGAAGCTGGTGAGGCGTCGCGGCTGATAAGTCGAGAAGCCTCAGGAGTTTTCTTCTCCGTTATGCTCTTGCTAAACGCATGGTCCGATTCCTGGCGTGCCGGCTGCCAGGAGCCGACATGACCATGCGGGCTCATTTGATAATTTCGAAACGCCAAGGCGGGAACCAGGTGGCGTGCTTGGTCAGCCTTTAGGCCTGCCGCCCGCTGTAAGTACGCCACGCGCCGCCCGCTATGTAACGCCCCAGATATACTTTCCATATTTGTATCCAACTCTTGCCGTCTCCGGCGCTAAGTTATATTTATTTCTCGGGTTTGGGTCTTTGTCTCCGTGTGTTGTTTTTCTTTTTCGTGCATCTCTTATCATGTTATCACGTGCATTGCATTTGCATACATGTTCATCTCATGCATTCGAGCTTTTTCCCCGTTGTCCGTTTTGCATTCTGGCACTTCGTTCTCCTCCGGTGGTCATTTCTAGTTTTCTTTCGTGTTTGGGAATTAAACATTTCCGGATTGGACCGAGACTTGCCAAGCGGCCTTGGTTTACTACCGGTAGACCGCCTGTCAAGTTCCGGGTCATTTGGACTTCGTTTGATACTCCAACGGTTAACCGAGGGACCGAAAAGGCCTCGTGTGTGTTGCAGCCCAACACCCCCCAAATTTGGCCCAAAACCCACCAAACTCTGCTCCATGTCCTAGAGCGTTCGATCACGATCGTGTGGGCGAAAACCGCACCTCATTTGGACTCTCCTAGCTCCAGTTATGCCTATTTATACCCCCTCCATTCGGATCTCTTCTTCCCCCGTCCGAAACCCTAGTTTTTAAAAAAAAACAGATCTCCACCGACGGACGTGTCCGCCCCCGGCCGGACAACGTCCGCCCGCCGCCGCCATCCAACCCGCCGCCG